TGGACCAAAACTTGAAAGTTTTATGTACTGCTATAAGAAGGAACAAAAATTTGTTGACCCCATTTCATTAAACTCCTGTTTTTAAAGAGTATTCTGCATTGATTCAAATAACATGCAGTGTAATAACTGAATTTTATACTAATTAAAATGTGAAATAGACTGGGTGGCATTCTTTTAATTTACAATAATTACAGCCTCATGCCTAAAACTGTAAATAAACCATGAAAAACAAGGAGGCTTAGTTTTGCCACCATCTTATTTGTCATGTTCTATTTTTATAGGACTTTACAAACCAGTTGCATCAAAGTGGGAACAAAATAACTGACAGGAGGAGATGTTTTCTACAACTTCTCCTCTCCAATCTATTGAACAGCTGCTGCTGTAAACATGTCACATTAGTTTATTATTAAAGAGCCTGAGGAGCAGCTCCAAGCTGAACGAACAATTGTGTTGTTTGAGAGTTACCAGTTATGGCGTTGGTGACATTTCAGCATTTCACCATTAATCTGTGATATTTATAGTAAAGGTTACAAACATGACAGCCATGATAATCAATGGCTGTAGAAATAAAATGCCCCTTGCAGCTCCTGAGACCCTTGATAATAAATAATAAATCCACCTGATATTGCAGCTGGATATCACTAAAAAATAACAACACTTTAATTCAGAGTCATGTACTGCGCTTTGGTCTTTATTTGAGCCTAAAGATAATTTCTTCACCAGTAGGGATCAGCAGACGAACATTACTGCACACCGTCGCCATCTGCTGGCAGCACCATCAGGTCAGAATTCTGCCACAATGCACACATGTAGGGCTGCAACTAATGATTAGTTTGCAAATCGATTCATCTGTTGATTAGTTTTTGATTAATAATCGGATAGCCGAAGGTTCCTTAAAGACTTTTTATGAAATTAAACAAGATAAAACTAAAACTTTTCCACTTTAGCATTTCTGGATAGAGCATATCGACATATGACTTATATTTTTATTTTAAATGCAAAATGTTTACATATTTTCTTTACAATTTCAGTATAGTTGCTGCTTAAGGTGGTTCCCCGTCAGCTAAAGGCATGTTTTAGAGTTTGTCAATAATCAATTAATCACGTAACAATAAAAACTGATAGAAGCAGTTTTATTTAAAACACACCTGTGCATGTAGAGTCAATACCTTGAGGCCAATATGTCACAGCCTTCAGTTCATGCTCCTCCTCTTCTCTTTTTTTAAAATGCTCGTTAGGACCAGTTCCTGTGGCTCATGTCAACTTTTGTCCCAAAATAAAAATGGCTGTGATTACAATACCGTTTTCTTTCGTAGTTGCTTTATGCATTATGCTACAGCAACTAAAGATACTTACTATAAATTCTCTTACACACTCATCTATAGTCCTAATAAATTTGAAGGGAGCCGTGCAACGAGTAACTGAGCTGCTGTCTTTCATTCCAAGCATTTACAATAAGTTTATATTCTAAGGAAAAATAAACTAAATTTACAACAACCTACTTTATGCTTATATTATATTTCTTCAACCATAATATTTTGTATAAATCCTTTTTTTTTTTTGTAGAATCTTAGTGAAGCGGCTGTTCCAACCATTGCATTTCCGAATTCTGCCAAGTGGTGCCATATTTCCACGAGTGAATAAAGTGAATGTGATTGGTCGATTATCGAGGGGGCGGGATTGTTGTGGTGGAAGGTTCGCAAGCAAGTTTGGTTGTGGCCGGTTTGTCGGAAGCATCTTGCTAACCAGTTAGCAACTTAGTGCTAGCAGGTTCCCAATGGGAAATTCCATTGGGACCAAGTAGCACTAAATTGGTGACTTAGAAACGACACTGTCAAGGAACGCTATGGACAGCGGAAACATGCAAGAGGAGGAGAGTTTAGTGTCGGAGGTCGTGGATGAGTCTCCTCCATCATGCATTTTTTATCTAGAGGAGGAAAGCGGGGACAAAGATGTTGTGGATGAGGACGCCAGGGCGGCAGAAGCTTGGTTTGGTGTAGAAGGCTTCCAGCCGTACATGTTTGAGCCCTTGCCTCGCAACGCTGCCAGTTCTGTTAGCTCTACGCCTGCTGAAGACACAGACGTCCATCCACTGGGACGCTGGGACGGAACTCAATGGGGAAGGACATGATTCTTATTTCTTATTTCAACCGTTGCGTATATTAGCTGCGACATATAAATCAAGATGCTATGACCGAAATAATTTGATTGACAGATGACCGTTGATATATGATTGGGCTTATTTAGGTGTTCAGGCTGACGTATAACTAACTGGCCTGCATAAGATAAAAAAAAAAACAAAGCTTTTAAGACAGGATCTTTTTTAAAATAGAAACATTCTAAATTTTGGGAAAATATTGTCTGATAAAAGGGTACATTTATATACATGTTTAAGCCAGAATGATTTGACATTTAAATATGACTTCCCTACGACTTTAAATCATACCTGACAGAAAATGAAATCCCAATATCAGTCTGAGATCCCAGGAATAAGACAATGTGTCTTAAAACTTCTGTGTACTCGAAGCTCGATGGTACAGAGACTTAGCAGATGTCCAGTGATTCTCTACCCTCACTGGCAGAAGATATACCGTTAAATTAAACCCACAGATTTTGTTGTTTAATGTAGGCTGGCATTGAGCAAAGATGTAGCAGAGACTAACATAGGAGAGAAAAAGAGCACATTCACATCTGAAGCTGTTTGTTTTTTTTTCTCTAGAAAGCACTGCAGCCCACCACCAAAGCAACAACCTCAGACATAGATGTTACCTTCTCTTGGGTGGGTTTGATAACATTCTCATTTATAGTCTGTCCTAACTCTGTGGCCTAGTTGAAAGTCAGAGAGGAGAGTTCGATTTAATTAAAACACATTTCAACATCCACATTTGTGTAAAACACTGAGCTGCTTCCCCTTCAGATGCATTAAAACACAGACCACTCACAATGACACAGAAAAAGCTCTAGAGGGCGTAATGGTGCAAAGAAAGAGGTGACGTAAGCTTTGCTTTCTAAGGATTCATGTCCAGCCTGATCAAACTCAGGCTCCTCACTCATGATTCACTTGTTATCAGGGGGAAGTTTAACCTTTTTTGATTTTCTAAGAAGGAAAACCTTTTCTGGAAGAAATCTCTAAGAAAATATGCATAATATGATTTTCTGACACATGCAACCTTAATTTCTGATATTTTTAGCTTTTTTTACAATAAGGCTCCCCTTACAGATGGTTAATTTTGTATAGGTTTATTACTAGTTAATCTGCAAATGCTTCAATCTATTCCTAAGTGTTTATTATAAATTAATTAATGACAAGCAAGAGCTAAAACTGACGGGTTCCTTTCCAAATGTTTAGCCTTATATTTTTCAACTGTGCTTTTTAGATTTATCATTTTTAGTTTACAGATTAATTACTAAAACATCTTTAAACTTTTTATTAGCCATCTATAAGGTGGGCCTTACTGTAAAATGTTACCAATTTAATCTGATCATTTTTTCTGTTTCAAAACAAATCACAGTGGGGAATTATTTTTTCTGTTTTTAAAACATAAATATAATAATTTAGTATTGAAAAAAAATGTAATGCTATGTTCAGACCGCATGCGCTAGAGGCAACGGAAGCAGCTGGTTTACAAAGTCAATGGTTGACACGCATCACGGCGCAACAAAAGGTCCTGCAGCGTGTTTTGATCAGCATGAGCAAAGCATCTGAGCAGACGCGCCACGAAAGCAGCAGCTGCTGGAGTTGGAAAACTTGAACTTAAGCTTCTCGATGCTCCACATCAATCAATCAGAGAAGCTGATCTGGGAGATGGCAGGGAGACAGACACAGCACTGCTCATGCAGATCGCTGTGATCACTCCTCTGAAACAGCTTATTAACGTCTAAATTAACTTAAAATGCCGAAGCCTGCCGGCAAAATATGTTCAGTTTCATTATTCTGGTGCCTGCAGTTTGGATTATATATGTGTTAAACAAAGGCCACAAAGATTAGCGGAAAACCCCACAGAGGCGACTGGGCCAGAGGCTGCTGGTGAAGAGGATTTCCAGGGACAGAGCACCACCAGTGTACAGAGGTCTGAGCGGCTCCGACAGTGAAATAATGTTTGAAGGCCGGATGGTAATCTTGATGAACCGACTGCACAGATTAAGTTTTCAGGTGGACTTTCTCACTTAAAACATATTAAAATTACTTTCTATCCACTTACAACTAGCCTGATAAACCAGACTAAATGTGAGATTAAATGTGTCATTTATTCTGGCCACGATGAATGAGACAATGGAATATTGTTCATGAGAACAACCCGTTGTTTTTCAAACCATGTCTGTGCCTACTGGAGAACGCTCTGGCCTATGAGGGCAACTGACTATGACTATGACGTCAGCGTGTGTGAGCTGTGATTGACACTCCATCAGACACTCCTCTGGCTGTGATTGGTTGTTTTGACTCGTCCTGAATTATTCTTTCCAGATTGAAATACAGGCAGTAGGCGGGACCAATTGAAGCAGTTTTTTTCACAGGTTACATATCACATGTACTGCTGTCTGGGCATAGGGACAGTTTTAGCCAATATGACAAAAAAGTGATTTTTAAAAACTTACAGACTTCAGCTTTAAGCAGAAGAAATTTTGTTGCCGCTTCCAGTGCTTGGGGTCTGAATGTAGCATCAGAGCTTTGATAAATAACTATCACACACACATTTTTTTTTATACAGACATCACTTTTTGTCACTTAAGCTGGAAGATTGCGGGCATTTCTGGAGCCTCTGGCTGCCTCCAAACCCTATTCTGCATCAACTACAGAACCTTTTCCAAGTGGAAAAATACTCTGCATCGTCATGGAAATGCACATTAGTCCGTTTTGAGGGTTTATCTCTGCGTTTTGCACTGAGCAGTTTCTAAGGATGAAACAATGCCTCATGTATGCTTTTACTTTGAAGTCTAAATTCATAAGTGAAGACAGGAAATGCTAAGCCAGCTAACGGTAGCTGGAATCAGAGAGGGTGCTGATGCATTCAGTTTAACATCAAGGTGACCTTGATTCCTACGGTGAACTGTTAGTTCCAACGTACTCTAAATAAGACCAGAATGTCAAAGATAAAATGTTCACCATGTGATGAAAAACAAAACACAGCAGATGTTCCAGACCAAGGTTTCCTGGTTCTGCTGGAAGGTCCAAGCAAAATATTGAGCACTACTTTAATTCAACCATTTAAACAAGAAACAACAAATAGAATCAAAATAACCAGTCTTTTATCTATATACGATTTATTTTGAAACAGAAAATCCAAAGAATGAACCCTATAAAGATTCTATTCATATATGATCCATTTCAGACTTTTTAGATGAATATAAGATCGCTGAAAACCAAAAGCTTCACAATCCAATATAATTCAGCTTTTAAAAATTAGCAAATTAACTTAATCAAAAACATAGAATAAATGCATAAATATTTCAATTATGTATCGAGGACTAAAGATCAGATGAATTATGATTAATTACTGAAAAAACGAAATGTAATGAAACAGAATTGTTGCCTCAAATAATGATGTAGACTAAAAAACATTTATCACATGCATAAATAATTTAACACATTAAAAAAGTATATAATTATGTCAATAATTAATAAATGTATTGGCATGTGCTGCAACATGTCAGTTTATTTCAGTCTCTCAGCCTTTCTCATCAACATCAGAAATGTAGACCAACCAATCAGAAGCTAGCCTCTACTTCTAGTGTAAATTACAGTTATACATTTTTATTTACGGTAATAAAGTTTGAATTTTTTGGATTGTTGAACTTTTTGGGGAATTTATAAAGATCTTATCTACCATGTATCCACTACAGAGAAGGAAACTAGAATCCAGAGGGCTGTAACAGGATGTTTCCCATGCCATTACACCTCTTTACATCTTAATGTCTTAAAGGGACGTAAAAGACAAAATAAAAGGTCATGCATAAATGGATAACCCATTATAGTTGGAGGTGAGAGAACAGTAGCTCATATCCATAATTAAAGGTGGGAGTTAATTGCAATCCTTATCGAATATTACGTTTATGTCCCAATAAATATCAAGCATCAGGACATAAACTCAAGGCACCAACACCAGCAATGCTTTGTGTTATCAAGCAGAAGCACATTAACATCCAAATAGGTCATATTTTGCAAAATGGTTCCAGGTTTAAAAGCTGCTTAAATAAAATAAAATAAAATAAAAATGGAGCAGCCTTAAATAAATGATGTGCAAAAAAGGCGTCATGCAGCCATAAACTGCTTTACCGGTTCAGGGGGGGCTTTATAGCCCCTTAACTTTATCCAGGGAGGGCAGAGAGATATTAGTAACATCATTATCACAGCCTTTGAGTGTTTAGAAAAACTTCTATGACACAGCTAATAAATGACAGCATTTCCATGCTAACAACCTCCCCAAGCTAGAAGGAATATTTCCATACAGCTGAATGAAAAGCAAAAGGGAAACTTTAAAAAGGGACTCTGACATAATACCCTTACCTTTAAAGTTGCTTGGCTTGCCAGTTTAGTCGTCTGTTTAAGTGGAGAGAAAAAAAAAATAAGAAACAGGATAATAAGTCTTGCATGTCTTCCAAAGGGAGGTTACTTTAAAGCTATAATGAATATAAAATAGTTATTTACATTATCTTTAGCAATTGAAGCAAATTTGGTGGCACCAACAGTAAAATTACTCCAACCCTGCAAAACAAAGCAAAAGATTTAAAACAGTCGTATCTAAAACACAGCTCAGTCAAATCAATCTAAATAAATGTTGATGCATGATGACATACTGAGTAAATTGAAGACATTGCATTGTTCAAGAAGTCGTCATCCTTCTTCTCTGGGGTTACTGTGTTGCCAAAGCCAACATAACGATTCTCTTGGTTCCCACTGTAGCCCCCCCCACTGAAGGAAAAACAATTAATGTTACCAACCGACTGGGGATGTAATTATATAATCAATTTAAGATTAATAGCTGGATTCAAATTCACTCCAGCTGATCAATTAATAATGTCCATTCAGAGGAAATTTCTCTAGTGTTGTAATGATACTTCAATCCACTAGAGAATAGACTAGAATAGAATAGAATACAACTTTATTGTCATTGCAC